TCAACCTGGCGACACACATGCTCAGCCTTACGACGACATACGACGATAAACAACAACAAAATCCTACCATTCCTAAAAAGGTTGTTCGAAAGGTTCGAAAGGAAAATTTTTTAGATGGTATCTAAGAACGATTTAGCTTGCGCGTTATCTTTACAGTAACTGTGCTCTATCAATGCAGCAGCTGTGCAGCTCCCAAGTCGTTTTCAGTGCACTGCAGCACACATCCAGAAATTCTCTTTGCTACAAGATACCGAAGAATGCCCCTGGTTCTGTCAACCTGGCGACACACATGTTCATCATTAGAAGGATATACGACTATAAACAACAACAAAATCCTACCATTCCTAAAAAGTTTGTTCGAAATGTTCGAAAGGAAACTTTTTTAGATGGTATCGTAATAGAACGATTTAGCTTGCGCRTTATCTTTACAGTAACTGTGCTCTATCAATGCAGCAGCCGTGCAGCTCCCAAGTCGTTTTACAGTGCACTGCAGCACACATCCAGAAATTCTCTTTGGTACAAGATACCAAAGGATGCTCCTRGTTCTGTCAACCTGGCGACACACATGCTCAGCCTTACGACGACATACGACAATAAACAGCAACAAAATCCTACTATTCCTAAAAAGGTTATTCTAAAGGTATAAATTGATATGATATGCAAAAATTGGGTCTTAATTTATGGGTTCGGAATAACATATTCATTGATCATAAAATGCTGTACCTAATGGTGCCCAGTGTAAAGCAAGATTGATTCTGATACATTCTCTTATGCATCACGAGCTTTATGGTACTTTGAAAATTGTCTGCAGGAGATGTTCAAAATCTCGAATTGTCATGACTACAAAGTTAATCCAATAAAACAAGCCTTCAGTTGTCATAGTAAATTCCTCTTAATGCCATTAGTAGATCATATCGATGATTTCTTACCATTACACACACCTTACTTCCTTTAAAAGGCCGCTTTGATAACCTTGGCCAGTGATAACCTTGTGCCAATTTGCTTACTTTACATCACAGCATTGCCGAACTTTTGAAAAAAAACCTATAGCAACTCTGTATCTTTACTTTTTTACTACATTATCCTATCTGATTCTGCTGTGAAGAGGAAAAACTTTGTAAGGAACTTTAATTCGTAATTTTACGCAAACACGTTTGGTTAGCTTTACTACACCGCCGTTGCGGACAAGCGCGGACTGTGGAAGAGTCTGTCGACTATAAGAAGTGGGATCCCTTTGTCATTCGTTCAATATGGCGGATGTGTACATGTAAATGTAATCTTTTTGGAATTTTCCAATGGATCATAAAAATAAATCATCAGTGCTTAATTTTAATTTTACGATGGAGGGCGAGGCAGAGAAATGGTTTAAGGATACACAGAACACAATCGGGTCGGGTTTTTTGATCGCTCATAGCGTAAATTTCCCCATAAAGTATACATTTTATTACAGCTTAAAGTTCAAATATTGCATATTCGATTTTACTTTTGGACAAAAATAATTCATTTTGGATAATTCGGGCATTGATTGCAAATGCTATGGTTCGACGCGAGATGTTTTTACTCCCTCTGGTTAGCGTGAACGGATCAAATTTTTTTTGCATCTTATTGCACGTATGTTGTTCTACCAAAGTGTGTCTGCGTTTTTTCTTTTAGCGCTTCTTTAATCTTTTATTCAATTCCAAAGTTATAACTACATGTTTTTAAGGGCATTATTGAGAAAATGGCAAATATCTGACAAAAGAAAAGGAAAATGAAAAAACGCAGACACATTTTTAAACTCGAGCATAGTAGCAATCCACATGCCAAGTTTCACGATAATTGATCAAA